CGTTTTCGAAAACACTTAGCTACTTTCGTTCGGTTTGAAAATCTCACATTTCCGTCTCACACCCAAGCTATAAAAGTTTAGCTACTCATAACGGAAAGTAAAAAATAAATGACGGAAAATAAAGACATAAATGTAAATTGCGTAAAATAAATAACGATAAAGTAAATGACGGAAAAGTAAATAACAGGAAACGTAAATGACATAAAATAAATAACGAGAATGTAAATGACGGGAAAATAAATGACAAGAAAATAAATTACGGAAAGTAAATGACGGAATGTAAATGACAATAATCGTAAAGGAATGTAAAATAAAGAGCGGAAAATGAAAGACGAGAAATTAAAGATGAAAACTCAAGAACTTGGAAATTTTTCTTCAAAAGCTCTCAAAATCAGCTCTCACTAGCTGATTTTGATTCTTAAGATATGATATTAAATGATGTTTAAACAAGTGCCCAAGCACTCCTATTTATACAAAGAGTTTAGCACAAAACAACAAAACTATTATCCAAAGGTTAATGACCAAAGTTTAATACAAAAGGAATCCTATGCAAAATATAATCCTTTGGTCCAAAACTTTCCAGATTTCTAAAATCTTCCAGCTGGCATCTGGCTGTCTTCCATTCAGCATCCAAAAATCAGCAGCTTAATCGTTAAGCCCTTGCCCAACCGTGTGTGCATCAGATGGGTGCTGCAGTGCTGTATAGCATTAGGCTGTTTTACAAAAAAATTATCCGTTAGCTTATATTTTCATGTTCCAACAAGTTAAACCACAATATTTTAGCTCCATAACAAAAATAAAGAGAAATAAATTAAAATGACTCGAAGTGGGAACGAAAGACAACAAATTTTAACTTAGAAAGACGTAAAACATATGCATTATGTGTTGAATTCTCAACACATATCAGTGACCAACCAAGAACACGCAACCGTAATCGACCAAGAACCATAATCGAGAAGTCATTGCATGCAACAAGCGGATAAATTCAAGGTATCTTTCAAAATTACTCGTTTTGAATAAGTTTTTAATCGATTAGTTGTGATACTTATGTAATATCAAGACACAATTTGGGAATGTTTATTATCACATCTATCACACCATTATCGCATCTATCACACCATTATCACAGCTCCTGTGATCACTGGTAAGTCGATGCCATCAACATTTTAGGTGTCAAAAGCAGTTGTTGTTTATCACATGGATATTTATCACATGTGATAAACATCCAAAATTCTCACTTACATAGATATCATAATTATAATCATTGATTTGGTGTTACAAGTTGAATGTGAAATTAACCATCTTGATTACAAAAATAGCTGTCATTTTTCACTTGCTGATTTACATTGTTTACTAGCATCAATCATATGTCTATTATCACATCTATCACACCATTATCACAGCTCCTGTGATCACTGGTAAGTCGATGCCATCAACATTTTGGGTGTCAAAAGCAGTTGTTGTTGCATCATTTACATAAATTTAATGGAAAACGAACCAAACAGTATCCACATACATATAAACATCCGGTTTATCACATGTGATAAAACATCAAACTTTTCAATTTAAAAAGTACAGTAAATCTATGAGCGAACGAATTTTTTTTTTTATGTTTATCAAATCTATGAGCGAACGAAAAAAATGGGTCCAACAGTAGAATAACATTAAACTCAAATTAACATATACCAAAAACAATAAATGGGCAGAAAATGTTTACATTGACAAGTCCTTCTACTTTTTATCACATGTGATAAAAACCCCAAAAAACCATTCATGAAAATTGATGACATATTTTAATGTTATCACATCGTACCTTCCTCATCGTTATCARAACTACTTTCAAAAAAGYTGTCTTCAAAAAAACAATCTTGAGAAAAGCCCACAGAATCGTCGTTCGAATAACTTGATCCTGAACAAACTTCCTTACCAACAACATTCAAGTCGTCCATTTTAGATAGACAAAAATATGGACACTACCGAAAAGAAGAAAAGATGTTAACCCATCGACTATGTGCAGATTATGATGAACGAGAAGGAGAATACGCATGAATGAAGGAGAAGCATGAATGAAGGAGAAGAAGAAAACTAACAGACGTGGAAACGTGAAAGGATAAACATGATTAATTAACATAAAATAAAAATTATAAAAATTACTTAATTACATTACTGCCCTTATTAAATTATTTATATATAATAAAAGTTAATTTATTAATTAAAAAAGTTTGAGGTTATTGGGTTGTCCTCGCGTTCTCATAAATCACATGGGTTCTCGTTTGAACCTCCACCTATATATATATATATATATATATATATATATATATATATGTGGACTAATCACAATCAAGTAAAAAGGGGTTGCTCAAATGCTTGCTCGGGACACTCTAACTCTGACTAAAGTATAACCTCACTTTCATTCTTACCAACACATTTAGATTTTTCAATGACACTTGGTAAAGGAACTTAAGATTGTCTTTTAAGCTCATTAGTTATCTCTTCAATATAAGTTGTAATGTTGTTAATAGATGTTAAACCTTGTGTGTAATCATTAAAAAAGTTTCAAAAGAGTTATAGGTTTCAATTAGTTCCAAAGTGGGTGTAGGGGTAAAATTGAATTCTAAAATCATCCATTTTGAAATTCCCAGAAAAATCAGCTTGTTCCTCCCACGATTGGTAAAAAATATTGGTAAAAGTGTCACTTCAATTTGAGAAGAAGGTACAGATGATATGCCATTATCTTGAATAAAAATTGGTGTAACACCCAATTCCAAAAAAAAAATCACCTTAATAATAGGTAATCAACCGACATACGGTTCATGAAGGATCCAATAATACTAATTTCCCAAAATCGTTACAAAAATGCACAGTGAAAGAATTAAATCTAGTTGAACCTAAGATCCTTACCTAAGTATGATAATTCAAGCTTCTAGCGAAAGCATAAATTGAATCTTTGTACTAGCAAATCGATAACTGCAGACAACTTGCATCATGAGGTTTGCAACTTACCCTTTCCAAAGCTAGCATTCTCAATCGATATATGCTTGGAAATATTTTAGTTTAATAACGAGGGTTAGACCGAAAGGTCTACTGAATTCCTTGTAAATCATCATATAATTTTGGAAAATATAAGTTTTGATATCATTTCTCATAAACATCTATAGAAGAAGAACGTAGACTCGTATGACTACGTTTCCACCCAGTTAACTATCCACAACGGTCGCAAGAACCATCACAATGATGTAATCGCCTTGACAAGATCATAGTCTATGCCACGTTGTGACGTTTGTGATCCCCCTGACAATATCACAATCTATGTTAGCCCAATGGGTCTACAATAAACGAATTCTTATATCCCAATTTAAACAAAACTCCACATACAGACCATTACAGTTCCACATGCATCCACTCACGTGGTGACAGTTACGCGACTCAGATGCACCCCCTGTGACCCCACAGTTTCATAACAACATGAAATATATACAATTATAATATGCTTGCATAAATATCAATACACATTTCATAAACCATATACAAGTAAGTCATTTCTTGCAACTTCAATAAAACAATACAAGAAACTCACTTGAGGTCCAATCCTAAGGTAATAACGTTCTCGCAAGACCAACCATCCAAAATTAACACCTAATTAATTATATAAATCAAAGCGTTAAACTCACATCTATTACCATATAATTCCTCTCCCCAATAACTTAAATAAGATTCTAAATGAAACCTCGAACTAATCCCAACGCCAAAATTAGACCAATGACAAAAACTCCATAAATAGTGAGTTACGCTACCAGGCTAGCGACTTAGGTCGCGCGGGCCTCATTCCATCCCCGTGAGCTGCCATGTGTCTAAGCTCACCGCTTTGTGCCTGACACGATTCCAATCATACAAATACGATTTGACAAAAAAATTGTAAGTTTTTTTTATTAACTTAGATATCCAACTCGCTATGTGAACCGAATTATTTCAAAACGACTTGGTGCTTTACAAATAGCATCACTACATTTATAAGAATCTTGTGACCAAGTCCATAATTTTATCTGAAATAATTAAATATGGAAAGGGTCAGCGTCAAAGGAAAGGGAAGTCAAAGGGAGTCCTATTGAATTGAAGATGACTAATTAACGGTGTTTAACCACGTCATATATATTTCATGTTCCTCCCTCCGATTCATAACCTCCCTCATTCCGGCTAACTTTGACCCGGCGTGAATTCTTATTGACTTCCTCTAAACTCTACGTATCCGATCACCGTTGCAAATCTACAACAACAATCGCAGATCGGATTCGATTATATCAACGGAAATCACATCAAATTACATCCCTCTTCATTGCAATGTGTTATGTTTGTGTGTGAATTTGAATGAAATATGGATTCGATGTCGATCCGTGTGCCCTATAAAAACTTCAAGCATGATGCTGATGACAATGCGGAGGTTGAAATGATGAAATTTGAAGAAGAAGCTAATCGACGCTTTGAATCCGATAATTCTAATATATTTTCTAATGGAAATGCCTCAAGTTCTTCTTCTCCGTCGCAAGGACCACCGATCAAGAACTGTAGCTTGATTACGTTGGTTTTGAGCTGTACCGTCGCTGCCGGTGTTCAATTTGGTTGGGCCTTGCAACTCTCGCTTCTTACTCCTTACATTCAGGTTTTTTCTTTTGCCTTTCCAGTTCTAACATTTTCGTTGGCAGTGTTGGTATTGAGTAGGTAGATGTATGTCAATGCATTTATTTGTGCGTCTTGAAGCTGCATGTCGTTGAGCAGGTGTGAATCTAGAGGTGATGATTCAGAGCTCTTTAAACCAACAAGCCGAGTCTTTCTTTCCCTCACGATACATTCTGGGGATTTGGGTTAGAATTTAGTTAAATATCTGAATTATATGGTACCTTATAGATGAAAATGGTTGTAAGTAGATGCCAACAGGAACCTGGGTGCCTGGTTTTTAAGCGAGAATGTAAAAACTTGGCATAGATTCTGGCTTAGCCAAAGTGACAGTGTACATAACAATACTAGTACAGAAGCGAACACAAGCACTTTTAGGAAAGCAACATGTTCCTGTTATTTTTTCACCGGTGTTCTAACATCAAATACAAGCACTTGTTGCATATCTTCCATGCTAAGGTGAGAAATGATGCCCTTTTATCTTGTGTGTGTTGAAAGTTGCACGCTTGGACCATACATCTGAAAAGCCTCAATTACACAGTAGAAAATTAGGATTCCTGAAGCCTATCCCAATGTGATGGTGATCTATGATGGTAAATTATTTGAAAATGTTGAATTTTCTCTAAGAGTTTGTTTGGAATGGCTCTATGAAGGATTGATTTCAGAGTATCACATTGAATATGTGTAACCAAAACCAAAAAGTTGAAATATATGTTTATTGAAGCAAGTTATTGATTTCGTACACATCCATGCTTTATATGTTTGTAGAGAGAACTAGATCATAAAGAATATCTTCATTCAAACAATGATGACTCAACATTAACATGTTACATAGATTTCTGGTAGAAGCATGAATGCCACGTTCACTAGTATGTACAAGGTGTATATGTATGCACTTTCGTGTGTATCAAGTGAGGTCTAAAAGTTTAAACTAATTATTCATCTTTGTTTAGAGATCCATTTTATTATTCGATGACTTGATATATGGAGGATCATGTTTTTACAAGTGAAGACAAACATTATGGAAAGTCATGTGAAATTTAAATAGAGTCTCTCATTTACAAGACGAAGGTGAGAAATGACTTGGTGTCATCATGGATAAAAAGGGTCTGGATTAATAAGGCTATCCTTTCCCTTTGTTTCTTATTTAAGTCTCAATTCTCAGATCATCTCACTTTCCATGCCATGGATGCTGTTAGCTTAGTATTTGGTTACAATGACAACTGAAACATAAAAACATTAACATTCTCCACTCTGAGACGGTTGCATAATTCTAACAGGCAAGTAAGTTCGCTTGCCATCCACTCTCCTTTCTGAGGTAAAAGCAACAACCTTTAACAAGTTTTTGGTCCATACCTGCAAATTGTTGCCTTATTGGTATGACTCACTCAACTAGTGCACAAGATATTTAGATACTAAATCAGCCTTTTGGAAGTGGTTCAGACATACCACGGAAGGTGAAGATATTGAGGAACAGGATATCAGCCACAAGGTAAGAGTAGGGTGGTTGAAATGGCAGCAAACTTCTGGAGTCTCATGTGATTGGAAAGTTCCATCGAAGCTCATGAACTTTATGGTACAGAAAGCTTGTACAAAAGATAGATGTGTCTTCTTTTGGGTATAATTGGTGCATGAACTTGTGCTTGTGTCCAGAGTAGTTGGAAGCCTTCTCAATTTTCATTTTAAAATATTTTGTGGCAAATTGATCAAATAGATACAAATCTGGTAGGAATGGTCCAACTGTCAATTGGATGTGAAGTTAAATTAATTCGTCTTAATATGTTAATGCGGAAAGTCCTATAATCTGGTAGGAATAGTCCAACTGTCAATTGGATGTGAAGTCCTACAATACATCTACACCTGTCAGTATATGCAGAAAGTATATGTATTTTTTCTGGATAGCTTCATCCATTTTGATTGTCAGCACTCATGTTAGCATGTCTTGTTTTTATTCTGGTTACTTTCTTGATATCTCTCCTTTTATTTGCGGTACAGACACTTGGAATTGGGCATGCATTCTCCTCGTTTATCTGGCTTTGTGGTCCTATTACAGGTCTTGTGGTAAGTTATATCTTTTCACTTACCTGAATATCATTTTAAAGTTCAGAATATGTAGTTTGTTTTGTTGACGTGGTTGGTGTACAAACAGCAACACTTGCTTGCTTCTGTATTGCAGTAAATATAACTAGTTTACAACTCTTTTCCTCTCTGCACTCTTTTTATCTCATTACCAGTTTCTCAACCTCAAGGTTCTGAATTCTCATTTAACTTAGGTATAGCTCTTTCATGGATAGTAACATAACTTATACCTGAGCTCTTTTAAGGATAGAAACATACGTGAAGAAGTTGCATAATGTAAGTGGAGTGCCTGCTTGAGAACTGAGAAGTGCTGGAAAAAGAAGGAAAAGAGGGAGTGAGGTAATGGAATCTGTCGCTCATAAATTATTGAATGAGAATCTCTTGCAACAATTTTCAGTTCAATCTGATTTTTGGCTAAACTAGTAAAGATGCAGTATCATCTCCGTATACTGTCGTTGGAAACACATGATCATTCATTTTACATTAATATAATGCGGGCTTTTAGGTATTTTGTTGTTGGATCGCTTTTAACAATAAAAGTGGAAACTTGCTTCTTGATATAGTTGAAATGTGGGTAAATAGGAATAAGGGGATGCAAAAAAGATAGCTATGTACGTTTTAAGATATTCATGAAATTTTAGTTACCCTACAGAAGAGATGGTATCACAGCCTTTGGACAGCATTAAAATGGCTCATTTTTGCCTTGGAGGGTGAAATTTTGAACTATGTAAACACGCACTCAGCTTGCATAACCATGAAGGTTATTTGTACTGATCCTTCCCTGATGTCACAGTAATGACCCTGCTTTTGGTGGCTCTTTAGCATTACTCCTTTTTGCCTTATGAAGCGAAGCTCTGAATCATGGAAACAACCACTTTGCGTGCTTAATCAGAAAGGTTTTTTGCTTTGCACCTTGCCAGACATCACAACATTCGAAATTTAGTACCTTTATTAGAAATTGAGGGTTCCTTGAGCTTTCGAAATGCACTAATTCGACTCTTATTGCCTTGGCTATCACAAAGGTATCACAAATTGAGTATTGGGATAATTCAAATGATAAACTGAAATTTTGAAGTCTGTTAAATCGACTTCTCTCTCACCCAAATTCAAAGTTTCATATATTTATATGAGAGATTGACAGTTACAGGTTAGGTAGGCGGTTTATTGATAACTGCAAAGCAGTAACCACTTGCGGATAAGATTGAACACAGATCAAAAGGCAATACAGAAGGAAGGGTTGAACCTGTAGTGTAGGCATGGGTGGCACGTGCCACCGTATTATTTCGCCTCCGAAGGGTAAAATTTTTGGGTTTGTTAACGGTGCTACCGTATTTTTCCTTGCAATTCTAACAGTGCAACTAAAACCCAAACAAAATAAAGCCCAAATAAAATGCAAAAGCCCAATTAATATCTCCAAATTACAAAACTGTAAAGCCCAAACAAAATAGATTAATCAATAAGGATAAGTAAGTCCAAATAAAATCTAATGGTCCAGTGGACTGCAGTCTGCTTAAAGTCCTAAGGAGTAAGGCCTAATTCCTAAAGCCCCAAATCGATCACCTGTGCGACCGTGCGTGAGCGACTCGACGACGAAGGCTCTTGAGCGAGTGAGAGCTTGAGGCGTGAGCGACATTGCGACAAGCCGACAACCAAGCGGGGACCCAGGGACAGCTTCGCAGCGAGAACGAGAAGAGAATCAAATCGATTCATTTTGGAACTCGCCACTCGGTACTAGAGATGGCCAAACGTAACCGGCCCGGCCCGTAACTGACGGAGGCCGGAAACCGAGCCCGGCTCAAGACCGTAACCGACCGGGACCGGTGGTAACCGGTTATGGACCGGCGGTTACGAACCGGTTATTGTTTTTTAGAAAATCTTGGACCGGAACCGGTTACGAAACCGGTTATGGGCCCGGCCTGGCCCGGCCCGGCCCGGCCCGGTCAACGCAAAAAGTCAAAACGTATTTATAAAGTGTATTVTTAAATGTATATAACAAAACGTATTTATAAAATTAAACGTATATAACAAAACGTATTTATAAAATTAAACCGTATTTATAAAGTGTATTCTTAAATGTATATAACAAAACGTATTTATAAAATTAAACTTATATAACAAAACGTATTTATAAAATTAAACGTGTATATATAATATATAACAAAACGTATTTATAATAAAACATATTTATAATAAAACATATTAAAAATAACATATTTCAAAGATATTAATAACATATTATAAATTTATTAATTACCAAAAAAATAAAAATAAATAAAAAAAATATATTTTTTTTCAAAGGACCGGCCGTACCCGGTTATGGGACCGGAACCGGGACCGGCCGGCTTAACCGGTTATGGGAAAGCTTGACCGGTTATAGAGTTTTTCATCGGGACTGGGACCGGAACGGGGACCGGTTATAGAGGGACCGGTTATGAGCGGTTTTTGTCGCGATTAGGACCGGCCGTAACCGGTTAAGGCCCGGCCCGGGACCGATTTTTGGCCATCTCTACTCGGTACTGACTCTGTGACTCAGACTCAGTCACTTATCCGATTTAGGTATACAAATTGATTATTCTGTTTAATGTTTGGGTATATATTGACAGTTTTCAAAAGATAAGACGTATCGGATACAAGTTTAGAAATTGATTATCGATACTATAAAAATCATATTTTTTATAATTATTTTTAAATAATATTATATTATATTTATTATATGATGCCACCTTATAAAAAAAAAAAAAAAAAATCTGGTCCTTCCAAGCAGAAACTTCTGAAGAAGGCTCAAGGGCTTCTGAAGAGAAGTCAGAGGCGGCTCCTGAATGAGAACTTAGAGGCTTATGGATGAGAACTTAGAGGCTTCTAAGTTGGTCTTCAAAGACTTTCTGAACTAAGTTAAGAAGGCTTCTTGCCTTCTGAAATTCACAGCATAATTCAGAAACTCAAATTTCGCAGGCACTTCTCTATAAAATCCGTAGAGGCTAAAAATCAGAGTAGAAATCATAGAGTCAACTACTGTGGCTTTGCACGTGACTGCTACTTTATGTCAATCTTGGTTTATCCCTACCTCTCCCATCATCCTCCCCTTTGTACAAGCCTCCTATTTTTACTGATGCACCTGAATGTCTACCAAACCATCTGAAGTGGTGTTACCTCAGCTTCTTCTTGAGCCAGTGCCTCACCTTGAAAAGTCAAAACAATGGCAGGAAGATTTAGGAACCAAAAATACTGTAGAAACATCGTGGTTCATGTTGAGCATTGGAAAAGAAAGGTTCCATGGTGCACTTTTTTGTTTTGTTTTTTCTATGTAAATTTGGTGAAAGTTATCATCTTAGAGGAATCTCTCATGTTTTCTGGTTGTGTGGATAGGTCTGGTGGTCACAGAAGTTTTGTGATTAGCCTTGTGTGATTCTGTCTTTCAGGTTCAACCTTGTGTTGGTATTTGGAGTGACAAATGCTCTTCGAAATTTGGCAGAAGAAGACCATTTATTTTGCTTGGATCTCTCATGATATCACTTGCTGTGAGCATTACATCACAAAAATCATGTTTCTAGCTTTTCTTAATTACTGTGTTTTATCTGGCTAAACTAGGTGTTGCACTTTAGGTGATAATTATCGGGTTTTCTGCAGACATTGGATACTTGATTGGAGATACGAAAGAACACTGCAGGTTCCTGCCTGCTTCTTTATATCCTCCTTGATATTTTGATAAGTATAATTTGAACAACTCAGTTATATATTGCAGCACGTTCAAAGGTACACGGACAAGGGCCGCTTTTGTGTTCATCTTAGGATTTTGGATGCTTGACCTTGCTAATAACACTGTTCAGGCAAGTATTTTTAGATTTACTTTTTGCATTAACGGGTTTGTAACCATCGCATGCACGTCCAAGTAATTATTTACTAACTGTAGGGCCCTGCCAGAGCTCTTCTGGCTGATTTAGCAGGTGATACGCAAACTCCTCTTTGTGAGATTTGATGATTTGGTAGTTCTATTTGTACCTTCTGTCGAGTACTTGGAACATGATGATGATGCTTATGTCTTCAAAAATGCTAGTATTTAAAATTGTTGTGTAGGCCCTGATCAGAGAAACTCAGCAAATGCTATATTTTGCTCATGGATGGCAATAGGAAACATTTTAGGATTTTCATCTGGTTCTAGTGGAAAGTGGCACAGGTAACACATCTACATATCATTATGGAATATGGTATATTGTCTACCTATTATTCTATCTATAGTGTCTATAAATAGGCATACTAAAGACTTGGTACTTTATTAATCAAGGTCATGCTTCTACCAATAAAATTGAACGTTTTCCTTGAGCAGACGTTTGTATGTCAACTCAAATATTCTTTGTTTCTATATCTTTTGTCCTTCTTGACCTCTTAGATTTATAATACAATCATTTGGACACTTCCCATGTGCAGATGGTTTCCTTTCTTGACAAATAGAGCTTGTTGTGAGGCATGTGGAAATTTGAAGGCAGCCTTTTTAGTTGCAGTGGTGAGTTTTGAATAACGTCATGTATATATCTGAATAATAGTTGACACATCTTTTAGCTAGAAACCACATCATGTTTCACCTTTTGTATGATTCTTAAGTTACATTGTGAAATCATCTGGCAATATTCTTAGCTTTTGATAATTTTTTACGAATTTTTACAACAAGGTGCCAAATTCATTAAGCATCCCGAAAAAACTTATGCTTGTGGCTGCCACTATGTTGTTAATTTTGGAATTGATTTTTTCTGCTTACTGAACATTAAAATTGGTGATTCTGTTGGTGTTATCAGGTGTTCTAGAAACATAATCTTGTGATCTTGCTAAATATATATCTTTCCACCAGCTACAGTATCTCCTATCTACTCAATTGTCAGTATCTGTGATTTTGGTGTTTGCTTCTAGTTTGGCTGAGTTGGAAATTTAGGGGTTGAACATCTAAAATGTAATCATAGAGAAATAAAGCCTTTTAATTATCGTTATATTACACTCCATGTTCCTTTCTACTTGATTTTAGCTCAGACTGTCCTGCTGTTTATTATTCTTTTAGTTAACTATGTAATATGAGAACTTCTGTTGGTGTTTTCACAGCTTTTTCTTACTTTTTGCACAATGGTGACACTCTACTTTGCAAAGGAGGTTCCATTAGTGCCAAAGCAGCATCTCAGGTTATCAGATGCTGCTCCTCTTCTAGGCGGTACTCAGCAGCATGTTCTTGACCACTCAGAATCAAAACCTCGGAAAAATGCTGTTGATCACAAAGTGGGTGTCATGTCTGAGAGTGTTTTTGAGATGGATAATAGTGTGAGGAATGAAGACTTAATACTTAAGGAAGAACAAGTCGAGAGTTTTAGTGAAAGTCCTGGAGCGGTCCTGGTTAACTTGTTGACCAGCTTAAGGCATTTGCCAGTAGGGATGCATTCAGTGCTTGCCGTAATGGCTCTTACATGGGTGAGTTCAATGGATGTAAGCTAGGTTCTGTTTGTGGCTTTATCAACTATGACTTTTTGGACTTCTATTTACGTTTACCTTTCGCTTGTGCAGTTGTCCTGGTTTCCCTTTTTTCTTTTTGATACAGATTGGATGGGTAGAGAGGTTTATCACGGGGACCCAAAGGGGGATGCTGCTGAAATCAGTGCTTATGATGATGGTGTCAGAGAAGGTGCATTTGGTTTGCTATTGAATTCAGTAAGAACTCAAAATTGAGCACCAATATTACATTTTCTTGATAATCAATAATGACTTTTTTATTCAGAGGGTCCAACTTCTCACCATTGAATCATTCGTTTTGTAGTAAAGTTCTCTTCTGGGGATTATAAGACATTAGTTAATCCTTTTGTAGGCACGTATTTTTGGCAACTTCTAATTTCTTTTACCCTTAATATAACTGGATGAAGTAAAATTATGTGAAGATAGATTGTGCTTGCAAAGTCTTTTAAGATTGCGTTCATTGGCTTACTTTTTTCTTTTTTCCCATTTATCATTTCTCACTATAGTTATTCAATTTCTCTTGGGACAGGTTGTTCTTGGTATCAGTTCCTTCTTCATTGAACCAATGTGTCAGTGGATAGGTTCAAAATTCGTGTGGGCAGTAAGCAATTTTATTGTGTTTGCCTGCATGGCGGGCACTGCCATCATTACCTTAATCTCTCTTGAAGAATCTCGAGGAATTGACAATGCTCTAGGAGGAAATGAGGCCATCAAGACTGCTTCCTTGGTTGTTTTTGCCATTTTGGGCCTTCCTCTTGCTGTAAGTATCACTGTATCAAGAATCCTCTTCAACTCATTGATTTGCATTTTTACTGTGATTCTGCTTTACAAGCTTCTGACATGCATCCATGCGTATTTGTTGCAGATAACTTACAGTGTTCCCTTCTCTGTCACGGCAGATTTAACTGCTGATACAGGAGGTGGCCAAGGTTTGTATTTACTCTATAGATTCTATTCTCTTATCTAGTACTAATGAGGCTTTATTCGTGCTTCTGACGTTTTCTCTGTTTTATCATCCTGCGCAGGATTGGCAATTGGAGTTTTGAATCTTGCAATCGTAGTACCGCAGGTAAATCAGTTTTATCCAGTTATTTTTGCTAAAGATACTAAACTAATATTACCTTTATATGACGACTGAGAGGCATTCACTCAAATTTCTAGCCTATGAATATAAGTTTCTTGTCATACGGAAATGTTCAAATTTGCACCAGAAACTCATCAAGGTCTTGCCTTTGGTCACTACTTTCATTTCGAATAAGAAAGATACACCTTCTTCTTTGTCTTGTCCAAAATAGAAAGTACTTTTCTTTTAAACGGGGAAAGTTCTACCGATCTTGGACCATCATAATACTCTCATTTTACATGAACACGCACAGCTAACCCACAATCACTTAAATTTCTTGATCATTTACTTGGGTTATATTTGGAAGCATCACTTGTTTAGCAAAAATGCTCCCATATTATCACATCACTATATCCTTTTTGATGAAAATGAATGGTACGAGTTTCTTGGTGTAATTTCTGACATGACAATTTGCGGTATTCTGATCACCCTATTGTTTTGGGTAGTATAAATTAGGGGAACCAATTTCACCTTTGAGTATCACCCCTGCCTCCCTAAAATGAAATTTATTGTTTAAATTTTTGAGAGGAACCACCTCTGCCCCGTTATTGAATGTCTGGTTCAAATAAGGAGGATAAATAGATTTATATTTATGAGCAACCTATGGATTTAGTAGTTAGTTGTTCGGGGCATCTAGAAGTAGCTGTGGAAATTTAAGTACCTAGGAGAATGTAGGTTCCATTTTCCTTGTATCTCCATTTTCCATCATGTGGGTGTCAATTTCATCTCAACATTAAATAATCGGAACCCACAATCACATATCAATCATCTTGACATATGGCAACTTATAATCTATGATACAAGTGTAAACATTTTTGGTCATAATATCTAACGTTTCGTTTTTTATAATCTAAAGATGATTGTGTCACTTGGTGCGGGACCATGGGATGCATTATTTGGTGGAGGGAACGTACCAGCATTTGTTCTTGCTTCTTTAAGTGCCCTCGCTGCTGGCATTATCGCAACTATAAAGCTTCCAACTCCAAGCAATTCCTACAAACCAACAGGTTTCCATTTTGGATGACCAATTTCCCTCCCTCAGCAAGACAACCCTACCAACTTGTACATAATAACTACAACTGGCACTACACAAGTCCCATGAAACTACTACACATGTTTTTCCCAATAGTTAGCTCCAGATTTGATGTTCAAATCCTTCAATCTGTACCTTAATACCAGAAAATGCTAATGGTATAGCTTTAGGATAGCCGGTGAATATCTTTGTTTCCTTTTCTTGTTACATCTAAAGTAAACCCATACCCATATATATCTTCATATTTTCTTTTATAACTTAGTGATCTTTTTTTCAAGAGCTAGAAACCATGGTAAATTTTGCTAACAGCATGGAATTTAAACTTAGGGACTGCTTACCAACACAAATTGGGTAAGTGAGGCTTTGATCCCTACCGGGACAACATCATGGCGAGAGACCATCTGGGTCAGAGGGTATGGGTAAATAACATTATTTTTACTAGGTCAGCACCAGTTACCCCTGTAAGAAGTGGCAAGTGTTTAGTGAACGACCCCTTAATTACGAATATTTTAAATCAATGAAACCTTAGAAAATGTTGTTTTAGGGCAGTCTCTTGTGTAGAGCAGTAATTGACAACACCTCACCTGGTGCAGTGAAAGTGAAGTCTTTCTACTGGATTTAGTCCAGTCACAATAATACGTCTGCCTCCCTAGCTGTTCAGTGGTTGAGGCCCTATTTTCTGTATAATCTATGGTTAACAGAATCACACAAAATCTTCACACTGCAGCTAACAGCAGCACCTGAGATTGAGTTTTTTAATGGACCATTTTGTTGCTTGTGTTGGTGTTAATCTGGAGTTTATATATAGAAGTATTATAAATGTATGCATGGATTTTTTTAATGTAAACGAATGTAATTTATTCAGACATGAGGGTGATCAATCGTAATTAGGGTAGACCTTAAGGGTGGGTTTGTGTCATTTTGTGAACAATTTGACCAAGTTGCTATTGGAGTTGCTGGTATTGCTTATAGTTTCTAGAATCTACTGGACTTATCCATGAATGTCACGTCACAGATCTTGTCCCTTAGTTTTTACCAAAACCATTCATGTTTTCCATTTCACGGGTAATTCTTGGAGTACAAAGTTATGCACCACGCAATGCTTTGGTCATGTTGACCAGTCACACCAACATGTTGTATCAAATGTGATATTGTATCAAGTATCATGGCTAAGAGAGACCTTATAAATCGGATGTAAATGTGAATCTTGTGATATGATGCAAGATATTGAAAATTAATTAGGCAATGAAATTATTATTTGATTGTTGAAATTGTGAGAATCCAAACAAACAACCCCATTAGATTGTTTTGAGGTCCCAATATTTCCTTATCCCTAGGAAACGAAGACAAAATAAGAAAGCAACGAGAGTGAGATTTAGAGACATCTCGGACCTCAATATAATGATGATAGTAGCTAGAAAACACCCAGTTCCCGTTTTTGATCATGACACGTTCGTTTCCTTACATCATTTGACGAATTGGAAACACTTTGTACCGTAGAATTCTTGTTTGATTGTGTTTACCGACATATTAAGAATAAAGTGATATGGTAAGTAAGGGTAGGGGGTTGTATTAGGTTAGATGTTGTATGAAAGAAAGAGAAAGAAAGGAAAAAAAAAGGAAAGAGAAAGGAATACAATGAACCCAAGAAAAAAAGATGAAAGAAGAAATGAGGTGATGGGGAGAGGAGATGGCAAGTAGCCAGAAAGGTTCCAAAATGGACAGAGTTAGAGATGGCCTACCTTCATCTTCATTACAACAAAAATAAAAAATAAAAAATAAAAAAAACATTTCCCTTTTTTCTTTATTTTCAATGACACGTTGCAGATATCAAGTGGTTCATAAGTCACCATCTCATTACAACAAAACACTGACGTCAACCAACGATACCCACATGGGAATCAGTTTTCTTTTTCTTTTTCTTTTTTCTTTTTTTCTTTTTAACCATATATCTATCGAATCAAATAAATAACTGTTTGTTAGAGGAATGACTTAACAGTACAAACAGCTTAATCCCCAAAAGACATACTTCCCCGGCCACACGTGAACCCTTGTATGTTTGTATATATGAATATCTTAACCATCTAATTACACTCTTAGGAGCAGAAGATGCAAGTTTAATGCAATACAAAGCTTAAATTGAGAACGATGAATCGAAAGAAAATACGATTGAGGAGGATGTATGCAAACCTTGAGATTGGGGGTTGTTTTATAGTGGGAGATCGATGTTTCAAATATCTTCAACGATTATATGCAAAGCATACTTTTGGTAAATAAGAGGATGAGGGATTAATTTAAATCCTATAGTCCAATTTTCTTAAGAGGATTAAATCTTTTACCTTTCAATGACACATTCAAGGAAAAATATAACATCTGGTGCCAAAGTTACTGAATGGATAAGTCGTCAATCCCTGAAACAGTTCCATTGCATGTGTTTCAACAGTTCCATTGCATGTGTTTCGGATAGAAGTTTTGTAAGATATCCTTTTGTTGTTGTATTTATTTTAAATAGTTAATCCATTTTGCTACACTGTTTAACGTTATACTAATTTTGCGACAAATATAATCAATGTAACTTCTGATTTATAAAGAACATATATCGAATCAATGATATTCAACATGTTAATTTTCAATAATTTATTATTTATCGGTAAATGCTACATTTTCTCATTGGATTACTTACCGACCATTTGGTATTTTAAAAACAAATCTCTTTTTATATTTACCCATTCAATGCTAAATTCAAAACATTTTTTATTATAAATATTAACAAAAAGAATCTTGAAATAAAATTTTATAAATGAAGACATGTTTATTTAATACAAATTAAAAATTACTTTATTGGAATGGTCTTTACCAATACAACAGAAGCATGGCCATGGGAGCATATGCCTCTTCATTTCTTTCTTTTTTAATACCCTTTTTATTGTATTTGTATTTAAAAAATTACAGAATATTATATCGTTTGTTCCCTTTGAGTTTATGGTTATATGAATCTTTATGGGTTGTTTGGCAGTTGTTGAATGATTTGGTACATAATGGTTAAGTGTTGAATGAAATAATATTGTTTGGAGTAAATTAGAGATTTCATCAAAAGAAATTTTATAGATTTCGGTTTTATTATATAAAATAACGTTCATTTCATATGTAATGATACATTATACTTCGATTTGTTTGAATGGTTATATTGATTCAGATTGATGTAGAAAATTTTAAATTGAAAGAACAAATATAAATAACACAAAACCGTGTCACTTTTTACATATCAGATAAATAAAAATCAGTACTCGTCCGTTCTTTATTTTATTAACGAATCCTATAAAAATATTTTTAAAATATAAATAACAATAGAACATGGATCCACCCCATTCCAATGGTGTAACGTAATCCCAATCAATAAAGTCATGTGTGGAGATAGGGACATCTTGACTTGTAGCCATTAATTCTAATGAAACCATACCCCACCATTCTCACCGTAACAAGATATGTGGAACCCGCTATTCTTTTTTTTAGGTATATCTTATTTCTAACATTTCTTCGATACACACATATACCAAATAGGTGAAAGCTCGTTATCGGTCTATTAACACATCTCGTATGACTTGATCACAAGTGTTCTGAGCATTTCATACATAATCTGTAATCAATTGTGATGTACGACAAGACAGGTCATACATTTTCCATATAATGGAAGCTATCTCTATTAAAAATTTATTGTAAAAAAACTGATGGTCTATATTCTTTTAGAATAACCAAAACCGTGTTCGGTTTAAATTTCATACCATTATTAAGTGAAGTATTGAGAATATATCAGTGGTTTCTTTTCTGTAAAAAAATTACCAGTCTATATTCTTTTATAATCTTGAGTCAATTGACTTTGATCTGTTTATAAAGTTGTTGCGTTTTTAAAAAAGCTAAAACTTTAAGGGAAAAAATGATCTGGTTTTAATTTTTTTTCTTTAAAAATGATTGGCCAATGTTTAAAATAAGTGGATATATAAAGCAAGAAAGATCAAGATTATTGAAGAATTAGAGATATATATGAAAAAGTCCCCAAATTCCAAATCCATCATACTCATGATCATGCATGTATGTATGGATGTTGGATGGTGATGTATGAACCCCACATCTTTCTTTCACTAAATCTTGCAATACATAATAATTATAAACCTTTAAAAACCCTTTTGGTGAATCTCAAATCTTGCATGAAAAGTAGACTTGTGCACATCAAGATACCATATTAACTATTGGAGGTTAGTACCAACTGACCCCTCATCCATGCCTTTCATCAACACTATGTTTCATTCATTTTCATGATTTCCAAAAAAAAATGCATATTTTGTTGGTTTTATCTGAACCATGAATTTCAGATATTCTATTTAACATAGCGTATATATGTTTATTCTATACAAGCATTCAACATTTTTATTCTAATATATGAATAGAAGTCTACTAAGAGCGTTTGGATTTTGGAACGTACACTCATTAAAACAGTGTTTGAATTAATAAATTAACATTTTTATAATTACCGCTAATAGTTTATAACCTTCAAGACATCCACATGTATTTACACATACGTATGTGTGTGTGTGTATATATATATATATATATATAGAGAGAGAGAGAGAGAGAGAGAGAGAGAACGTTTGGTTCAAATACTAACCAATTTTTTTGTGTTAACTATGTTAACCAAACTCAACCAATCATATTCCATCTTTTCTTTTGGTTCAAATGTAACTCATATATTAAATATAAAGGTATTTAAGTAATTTATCATTTTATGTAACTCCCAAATAATTAATCGGGAGTTACAAATTTGAAAATATCACAATTGATCATGATGCAATATTGACATTGAGGTTTCATACGTGTTCTTGTTCTATAATTCACATTTATTTTAATCGACAGTTCTCATCTTTGACATATGAACACATCAGAAATCACACAGCCTTAGATGTCGTGATTCATAAGTGTTCATGTATATTCAAGTCACTAGATGCTCATATGAATACATACACACACAGACATGTGAAAACATGTGAACACGTATGAAAACACATAACCCTAGATGTCTTGGTTCATAGGTGTTCATGTACATACAGAAGATGTTCATACAGTTCACATGTTGTTCATATGTCTAATTTTTTTTGTTTGATGTGGTTTGAAGATATACACAAGTTGTTCATATGTCTGACAACTCGTCTATCAAAGATAGATTACTTTTACCTA